CCATGACAGGGATTGGGCGGCCCTGGTCCCCTGACAGGGATTGGACGAAATCATGGCAAGCCCCAGGATTCCTTTAACGGAATTCCCTTCAGCGCAATGGGAGGGGCAGGCACGGCCTATCCTAACCCCTCCACCACCAGCATATTATAACCAATGCCTAACTGCAACCTTACAAGTTGTGACGAATTGCTGAGTAGTAGGCAAAAACCAAATGGCACAGCCAATCACCAAATGGCAAAATTCCTACTAGGCCCCTGCGCCAAGGCAGACAACCCCATGACAGGCAAAGCAAGGTCAACCGGAAAAGAGGGCGGGCGGGCGGGTGATCCGATGCACTCTGCAAAGAAAAGAAACCAGAGTGCACCAATATTTAAAGACTATGGTCCCACCCACCCAATTTGCAACATACAATTTGCCCCAGCAACCCGGTTATCCAATCACAATGCCAGGCAACAACTATTAACCTGCCTGGCAACAAGAGGCCTGGCTCGGTGGCCCACACCGCAACACGTGCTCTCATTTATTGGAGAACACGCTTTATCAGCATTTACACCCATTTACACCCAGACAATAGAGTGCAGGATTGTAGCTTTAAATGATATTGCCTGTCTCAGCAAGTGTTGATGTTTAAGCAAGGATGTTCATGAAGTTTAAAATGTTGCTGAATGCCTGTGCTTCACAATTTGTTTGTGATATGTTTTCTAACGATTTCCTCCCTCTTTTGTAAAAAAATAAAAAATCAAATTAAGCGTTTAGGAAGTTTTCTTCCAACTGAAGGTATCATTTAAGTTCAGAGAGAATGAGAGAGAGAGAGAGAGAGAGAGAGAAGAGTAATAGCTTGCCAATATTACGGCTGATTTCATTTTCAAATCAACATTATCACATCATTACAGATTTGTCAGTTTTATGGAACAATTATTCAGTTGGTTTATTTCAATTTCCAATTATTTCAGATTCCACAATTCACTAAGAACACATTCTCGTTAACTTTCTTTAATTGGATGTTTCTTTCATAATAATTTGTTTCAGTCATGAGGGAAAGGCACGTGTCCAGAAAGGGTTAAAGTACAGTTCACAAATTTCATCATGAATGACAGCATTCATTATTACCAGTAATCCCTGTAAAAACGTCTGGTGGCTGGAGAGGAAATGCTTTGTATTACAGCCAAACTATGTAGATACAATTATTTTCTTTATTTCTACAATTCTCCTAGTAGTTAAATTCAGCAGTCTTCAGTTGTGCTGTTTTTATACAGCTGAGGATCAGCCTCGGTTGAGAATGAAATAACTTGTTAGGTTTCAGCAACACAATATCTACTCAAAAGTAAGCCCCTGGAACTCAGTGGGGTTTTCTCACAGGTAAGTGGGTGTAGGATTGCAGCCTAAAGCATTAATTTAAAAAAACAAAACAAAACAGAGCTTAGCTATGTTCACATTTACCACTAGGTGGCAATAGGAATAACCTGAACACCAATCGCCTTTCCTTAAGAGATCAGCTTTTAAAAATATTGTAATTATTTATACCTTGAATTGAAACCAAACAATTCATTTCTCATTGCTGAAATGCACCATAGCCAGGTGGCTTTCTAGTCTGATCAGCGGACAGCTCACATAGCACTGTCCATCTCGCTGCAAAAACTCGGTGACTTTTAAATGAGCTCTATTTTTATCTGTTGACCACTAGTCTTGTGGGCAGTTCCATAGCCAGACAGTCAATCATAGAATCTTAAGAGCTGGAAGGGATCCTGAGGGTCATCTAGTCCAACCCCCTGCAATGCAGGAATCTCAGTTAAAGCATCCATGACAGATGGCCACCCAATCTTGCCTTGAAAACCTCCCATGAATGAGAATTCATCACCTTCCGAAGGTGTCCGTTCCACTGGTCAAACAGCTGTTAGTCAGAAAGTTCTTCCTGAAGTTTAGTTGGAATTTCCTTTCTTGTAACGTGAAGTCATTGGTTTGGTTCCTACCCTCCAGAGCTGGTGAAAACAAGCTTGCTCCCTCTTCCATGTGACAGCTTGATAGATATTTGAAGATGGCTATTCTATCTCCTCTCAATCTTCTCTTTTCCAGGCTAAACATACCCAGCTTATTCAACCTTTCCTCATAAGGCCTGGTTATCTTTATGGGTCTTTTGGAAGTACGGATCCTACAAGCCTGTCTGTGAACATGCCATACAACACTGGAATCTGGGATGAAGTCAGTGTAGCCCAGCAGGCAGTGAACTGGGTGGGACATGGATTTGGACAAAAAAATAAAAAAGGCAAAAAATCAGATCTGTCCATTGAGTACTTTTAGTGCTTTGCTGCTTGCTTCCCTGGGGTCCTTTCAGAGGAAGAGCAGGATTAGATTTAATAAATAGCAATTTATAGTGGTTCGAACCAAATCTGAGCCCATGGCTGATATTTGGGTTGTCCAAGAGATCAACATGAAGACAGATTGAAATTGCAGAGTTTTGAAAAACTAAAAAACAAAGTGAGAGACTGGCTTCATTATTATCAGATAGTGGAGGCATACAATTTGGATAAGAAAATTGGCTTTCAGGTGGAAAAATCAAAATTAGAAACAGAACTGTTAGAACCCAAAACTAAGAATTTGTCAAGAATGTATAACTTGCTGCTGAAATGGAATACTCAGGATGAAACGGTGAAATCTGCTATGATTAAATGGGCACAAGATGTTGGACGTAACATCATGTTCGCTGACTGGGAACAGTTATGGACCACAGGTATGAAGTTTACGGCATGTAATGCCCTAAGAGAGAATATTATGAAAATGATATACAGGTGGTACATAACCCCAGTTAAGCTTGCAAAAATCTACCATTTGCCTGATAATAAATGTTGGAAATGTAAAGAAACTGAAGGTACATTTTTTCACCTTTGGTGGACGTGCCCAAAGATTAAGGCTTTCTGGGAGATGATATATAATGAATTTAAAAAGGTATTTAAATATACCTTCTTGAATAAACCAGAGGCCTTTCTCCTGGGCATAGTCGGCCAACCGGTGTTAAAAAAGGATAGAACTTTCTTTATGTATGCTACAACAGCAGCAAGAATACTCATCGCAAAGTATTGGAAGACACAAGAGCTACCCACACTGGAGGAATGGCAGATGAAAATGATGGACTACATGGAATTGGCAGAAATGACTGGCAGAATCCGTGACCAGGGAGAAGAGTCGGTGGAAGAAGATTGGAAGAAATTCAAAGATTATTTACAGAAATATTGCAAAATTAATGAATGTTAGAGTGATGTTGGATTGAAATTAAGTGGCTTCTAGCTGTACAGGCTTTAAAGTTATAAATATATCAAGATTAAGGATTAAAAAGGTTAAAAGAATGGAAAAATTGGTTTTTAATAGGTAAAAATTTAATGTTATATTATATTAAGATTAAGGATTGGGATTAAAAAGGAGGGAAAGGAATTGCTGGACTAACAAACTGAATTGGAATACAAAAGAGGGAGGTATGAGGAGGTCCAGGAAACAAGTAAATGTAAAAGTAGTGATGAAAAGAGGGAATTGTTTTTAACTGTTTTTTTTTTCCTTTTTGTATTTTGCATTGTGTATTTTTCTTTTTATTCTTGAATTTTTCTTTTTTGTTGATGTGATTCTTTCTTTGTGAAACTTTAATAAATATCATTTAAAAAAAAGAGAGAGATCAACATGAAGAGGTACTAGGAAATGGCTGGTGACGTCACACTCAATGCCAGTAGCCAAATTGTGATGCCACACATTTTTGAGTGTGTGAAATACTGAGGCAGCCTCTCTCATCATCAGCACTCTCTCATCACTGCTTAACTTGTGTGCATATGTGAAATCTCTCTCACACGCACACTATGAAAGTATAATAAATGAGGCTCATCATTATGTTCTATCATTATCACAACAAGAGTTTGGAATTTCTTTTATGATTTGCTACTGAAAATCTAAAAAATACTGAACTCGCAAGATGGAGACTTCCTTCTCTTTCTCTTTCTCTTTCTCAAACCCCCCCCCCCCAATTTTCTTCCCATTTGTCCCCCCCCCTCCCCCAAAATGTCTTTTCTGGAGGAGCAAAAATAAGAACCAATCAGGAACTAAGAGGATGCTGCCCATTTTGGGAAAGCCTGAGTGCTCCAAATGGTAGTGGAGAGACCTACCTAACTACATTAGGGCAAGCATTTTGGTAACCAAGCACCACCTACTGTGCTTATTACACAGACCACAAATAGGAGAGATAGTTTGGGATGATTATAGAAGAACTCTCTGACTTCTATAACTCTTTTGTACTGGCACATCTGACTCTTTGAGAGTTGCTAACATCACCGGAAACCCTTTTAGAGCTATATGGTTTCTTCCCCCAATTTTCTCTATACAGAACAAGCTAGCATTATATGTAAGGCAAAAGTGAACATGGTTTTGTGTGTGTGTTTATACGTTCAGGATTATAGTTGGGGGATATGTTAAAACTAAAATAATTGCATCATAAATAACTATGGGATCCTTCTACAATATACACCTTCCTGAAATGATGCAGAGTGCTAAAGATATGTGTTTAATATGCATAAAATGCTGTGTTTCAGTGCATTGTATTTAAAGCACTATGCAGAGAGGTTTGTTTCTAGGTAAACGTGGCAAGGAGAAGCTGGAGTTGGCTAACTGATTACTCATCTCTGGAAACCCAAGCTGCAGTCTCTCTTCAGGAAGGTGAAACCTGAGGACCCAATGTCAAAGTCAGCGGATGCAGCCAGTAGCAGCAGTAGATGTTCAGCTCAGAGATGATAATACAAGCAAGTTACTTATATAGGATCTCTCTCTGGGACCAGAGAGAGGAATGTTTATTGAACTGTATTAAGGGCTAAAAACAAGACTGGATTGCATTGCTTGCTATTAAAGAGCAATGTGTTACTTTGCATTTGTAACATTTGTTTGTAGCTATTTTAAGACTCAGGTAGGTAGCCGTGTTGGTCTAACACAGTAGAAATATAATAAAAAATTGCCCAGTAGCACCTTAGAGACCAACTAAGTTTGTTCTTGGTATGAGCTTTCGTGTGCATGCACACTTCTTCAGATATCAGTTGGTATCTGAAGAAGTCTGCATGCACACGAAAGCTCATACCAAGAACAAACTTAGTTGGTCTCTAAGGTGCTACTGGACAATTTTTTATTTTTTAAAATATATTTTAAGACTGCAGTGAAGCTCTGAGACTCATTCATTTCTATTCTACACAAACAAATTTATTTCTACTTTGCACAAGGTGCAGATCAGGGATTGCATGTTTTGGGATCAATTTGCTTCAATTTGAGTTTTATAGTATGTTAAGGCCTTCCAACCCTCCACTTTAGAGTCAATTTTAGAGAGCTAGCAGCAAACAAGGTTATCAATAGTCATTATAACTTGGTGTCAGACTTCAGCTCTGAGGTCTCCTCCTTGAAGCAATGGCTTCACCCCTTCCTGCTGCAGTGTCTGCACTCAGGAATTGATGACCCAGATGACGTTGCATTTATTTATTTATGAATATTTACAGGCTACTTAATATTGAGAAACTTCCCAAAGTGGTCTATAAATTCATAAAGCATACAATACGGAAACCTAAAAACTACTAAATATATTGTTTCAGACATCTGCTTTAACCAGAAAAAAAATAACTACTATATTTTTCCCTGTATAAGATGTCCCCATGTATATTTTGGGGGACTCCAAATTAAGAAGAATAGGGGGAGATTGCCCATAGTTGTTGAGCTTTGTTTAGGGGGGATCACCCGCCAGACCTATGTGCGCATCACTCACCCACCACTCGCATGCGTCGGAAAGGACAGCAATTGTCTATCCCAGCGCTGGCAGAAGCCACCAATCACCCACCCAATTGCCACAGCAGCAGCAAATCAACACCAGCCCCTGGCGCAGCCAACAGTATCACGCCCAGTAGCCGCTGACAATCTCTGGGTCGTGGCAGCAACCAATCCCACGTCCCCGCTATGCACTATCCGTGTATAAGACAACCCCCAATTTTAAACTTAATTTTTAAAGGAAAAAATCTTGTCTTATACATGGAAAACTATGGTATGTGGCTGACATCACTATTCATGAATCGCAAACTAAAGCTCATTGGCACATGTCTAATATCACAAGGAAGAACATTCCTCAAAATGGATGCCAACATACTAAATACTGTACTTTGAGCAGAGTCAAATTAGAGTTCTTGCTGATGGTTCTGCACCATACTGTCCTCCTTGCCACCTCCCCGCTCTCCACCCCATTAAGGAACAGTGACCCACCTACCAGTGACTCTATCCCACCAGGCAAGCCACTTCTGTTCAAGAGTGGGTTTTTCCATCAGGAGAACCTCTCAAGATGACTTCAGTGGCCAGCACTAGAGGAGGAAGTCCCGTGTTTTCCCTACAGTACCATGGCTATAGTGTCATTCTGGTGTCATTGTGGAGGAAAATGGCGGCTACTGCAAGATCTGGCCACTTTGGATTGGCACCATTTTCATGGAGTGAAACCTGCTGTTTTCCTCTCATGATGCCCCATAATGATGCTGTATCTGCACCATGGCTGGTAAAATAAAATATTGACTAAGCTGCCAACACAAGAGCACTGCCGTAACTGTTAATGAATTCCACCACCGCATCCCCAGTCAGTAAAATGTGTGGGCCCAAATGTCTCCCGTCTCCCAAGATGCAACATAAACATCTAGAACTGAGCTGGAAAGTTCTCAGTAGAGAAAAGTGATATAGGACACCTTACACAGCGAGTGGCGCTGTGGGTTAAACCACAGAGCCTAGGGCTTGCCGATCAGAAGGTTGGCGGTTCGAATCCCCACGACGGGGTGAGCTCCCGTTGCTCGGTCCCTGCTCCTGCCAACCTAGCAGTTCAAAAGCACATCAATGTGCAAGTAGATAAATAGGTACCACTCTGGCGGGAAGGTAAACGGTGTTTCCATGCGCTGCTCTGGTTTGCCAGAAGCAGCTTAGTCATGCTGGCCAATGACCCAGAAGCTGTACGCCGGCTCCCTCGGCCAATAAAGCGAGATGAGCGCCGCAACCCCAGAGTCGTCCGCGACTGGACCTAATGGTAAGGGGTCCCTTTACCTTTACTCATTACCAGGGAGCCTGTATTTGGTTTCACAACCATTTTAACAACTGGAATGGATCCTCAAAGGGATATCCCAGCAGTTGCATCTTTTCCTACAGACTAACACTCCACAGCCATTTTGTCACACAGAACAGCCTGATGAACTACTCCCCTGAGGAAGCCAGCCAGTATCTCTCAGAGGTTTTGAGTAGAGTTTTCTCATTGCACCCAGCAGAGGGCAAAGAGCTATGAAGGCCAATAACCTGAAGCCAATATATACATACTATATGGCCAAGAAATTAGAGGTTGTTTGTAGGACCCTAGGCATTATGTTGCTTCTTCAACATGCACATCTCTCCACTGGTCATAATATTCAAGAATGTCCCTCATGAGTTCAGGCTAATTCATCATCTGTCTTGTTTGAAGTGAGGCTCAATTAAAGGCACCATTGAGCCTGAATTATGTTCCAGGTGTTAGGCTTCTCTCCACCTCAGAGCAGCTGGCGATGGCCAGTGGCACCAGTGACCTTATGGTCAAGTTTGCATTCAGTCTGCATTTTGTATACTGCCAGTTCACTCCAGGTCTTCAACTTGGTTCAAGTTCCAAAAAAGTTATTGCTTTCATAAGGTCCTTCTGACAGCCTGTTCCATTTCCTGTGCCGATTGCAAGAAGTCTAGTGCCTCCCTTGACTTGTTCTGATTTGGCTAAAATCCTGCAATTATATTATATATTTCCTGATTTATTAAATTTATATCCCGCCCTTCCTCCCAAATGAGTGCGTACTTTGTATGTACAATTTTATAATGTCTCCTGTTTTTAAACTCTGGTATTTTTAATAAATATTTTATACCATTTTATGTAAACAGATGAGTAATTCTCACCCAATTAACCAAAATATAAATCTTGCTCGATAAATAAATTGATACTTCTAGTAAGCGTCCCCTTTATATACATCCCCTAGACAAAAATTCCTCGATTACATCCTTTGCTCTCTTTCCAACTGACCTCCCCTTGAGCAAATCTCTATTTTGCTGGCTGGCAATAAAGTATTTATTACTGCACTGGTTGCAAAATTTGCCTTGGCTGCAAGTAAGTTGAGAGCTAGGCACGTGGAAGGACGTGTGGATCCAGAATTGGCCTCCACAGTCACTTTCGGACTCATTGAAACCATGTTTATTGAAGACAATCTTACTCAGCTATGAGTGATCGCTGAAGAAGAAGAAGAAGACATAAGAGGGAGTGTGAGATGCGGAGTCCTTAACTTATACAGGTGTGATTTTTGCAGTTTTGTATGTTTGCTTTAGGGGCGCGGGTGGCACTGTGGGTTAAACCACAGAGCCTAGGACTTGCCAATCAGAAGGTCAGTGGTTCGAATCCCCGTGACGTGGTGAACTCCCGTTTCTCGGTCCTTGCTCCTGCCAACCTAGCAGTTCGAAAGAACGTCAAAGTGCAAGTAGATAAATAGGTACCGCTCCGGCGGGAAGGTAAACGGCGTTTCCGTGCGCTGCTCTGGTTCGCCAGAAGCAGCTTAGTCATGCTGGCCACATGACCCGGAAGCTGTATGCCGGCTCCCTCGGCCAGTAAAGCGAGATGAGCTTAGTCATGCTGGCCACATGACCTGGAAGCTGTATGCCGGCTCCCTCGGCCAGTAAAGTGAGATGAGCGCCGCAACCCCAAAGTCGGTCACGACTGGAGCTAACGGTCAGGGATCCCTTTACCTTTATGTTTGCTTTGCTGTTCTTGTTGTTCAGTTTTAAATCAATTATTTGTATTCTATGCATTGTGACCAGTTGTGACAGCTTATAGCTTTTAGCAATAAAGATTTCATTCATTCATTCATTCATTCAGAGAACAAGTGTCCAGAGCACGGCAGCCAGTCATGCACTTCAAAATTCAGGAACACCAGCTGACCTGAAAAGGTCATTTTAGAACTGGAGAAATTTCACTTGGATAATTACGGTATATCTCTTCAGTTCTGTTGCTGAAGCATGGAGATCTTTGTCTTTGTAAGATCCTTCTTTTCTTGATCTGATTCCACTCTTTGTTCCCGATGCAGATTTTTACTCACTCCTTCTTGCCTGGCCGGCAGGAGGCATTTTGTGGTTCGCCTCAGGTGCCCAAATGTCTTGGGCTGGCCCTGAGAAGAATAGCCAATGGTAAGGGATGATGGAAGTTGCAGTGCAGGGCTACAGGATAGGTACTCCTGCTCAAGAACCCATTTCAATTTAAGAGACACTAGAAAGCCCAGTTGTGAAATCAGAGTAGATCAGCCATTTGCTCCAAGATGACAGGCACAGCATAAGGGCTGTGAATATACTAGAAGTGAAGCAATACAATAGAAAATGAAATGTGAAAGGTTTGATTATACCCTCTCAGACTTGTTTTTGGAGGAAGTTTATGCAATCCTCTTTGATGGGGGAATCACCATTGATTTAAAAGGTGCATTACCAGGCCACAGTTATGTGGGAATCTATTGGAAAAAACTGAGCAAAATTTAATCAGAATACTAATATTAAATTTCTATTCTCATATATATATATATATATATATATATATATATATATATATATATCGCATAGAGCAATAAAAAAGTAATCTTGTAAAGCAGGTTTTATTTAGCCACATCTGATTTCAATCAAAGGGATGACAATTTTTACCCAAAAGCCAGAGTTCTGGGAGAACTACTTTCAGGTTTAAACAGCTGGCAATGTGTGGGAAAGATTGCTAAAAATAATTGATTATGTTTGCTGAAATTCCAGTTAAGAAAAACAAGAAAAAATAATAATTTTGCTTTAATTCCCCCGCCCCCATGCTGTTCTCTTACAGAACGTTTCCCTCCCCCCCTTATCATTCCTTATTTGGATTCAGAATATGGTTGCCTATTTTCTATGGTCAGTGGACACTTCATTTTAATTACTTCAAAGGTAAATGCATTTTGAAGGTGTTTGGTTCCAATTTCAGGCAAGGAAGAACAAATTAATATAATGATCACATAAGGATATAGCAAAATCTTCAAATATAAGCAGTGTGTCATTAAGAAAAGACCAACAGTTAGTGG